AGTATGGTAAAGTTATCGTAATGATATAGATTCGATATCGAATCTATATCGTTAGAATTTTTTGAGTTTCTGTAAAGAAATATTGATTAGTGTATAATTTGTTTTGTTTTGTCTTTTTAGGTGTTTAAAAAAGATGAAATTTTGTTGTTGTAAAAGGAATAAAGAAGAAAAAATGCAAAAAATATATATTATTATGATTTAAATTAATCTATTTTAAAATATAAGTTTAAAAATTTAGAAACTTTTTTGAATCTTTAAACTTAATTGAGTTTAGGAAAATCTATTAGAAGTTTAGGTAAAGATATTTATTATAAAAAATATAGTTTAATCTCAAATTTCTCGAAACTCAAATTTCCTAAAAATAGTTTAGGGAGGCATCTTTTAATTTATTCTTAATTCTGGTTGAAATTATTGCATTGAATTTATTGGACTAGCTAGGAGCCAGTCATATTAGGATTACTAGACAGCATTAGAAATTTAAAATTGTTCCTAAAACGTGCGAGTTAGTAGTATTTGTTTGCGTTTTCCGATCTTTCTTAAAACTTCCATACTAAAGTGCATACCATGATTCAAGTTCACTCATTTACTTCGAATAATTCTTAAAAAAAAAACATTAAAATATGAATTTTGAAAATTGTGCTCATAGCAATAAAGAAAATTTTGAAGGAAATGAAGTTTGTAGAGATTGTGGAATAGTACTAAATGACTCATTTGTGCGAGAAGAAGAATTCGTCCCTGATATAACTGGCAAGTAGTCAAGTAGTTACTTGTTGTTGAATTAACGGTTGGGGCACTTATTTAAGTTTGTTAATTTTTCCACGATTATTTGATTATAGACTTGTATGGTGGTCGTTCACTCAGACGTGTAACCATCGACGGAGGCACTCAAGATCCAGGTTCTAAAAAGAAAAATCCACATGTAAATTAGCTAGTGAGTTTGATTAATAAAATATGTCCTCTTTTCCTTGCAATTAACAACCATAATGTTAATTTTATAGGTTGAACCCATACTCGACCAAACGCTTTCATCACTTGACCTTTTAGAGTTCAGGACACGTGTTATTGCATATTATAATGCTGTTGACAAAAATTTCATAATTGGGGAAGGAAAACTATTACATTATGTGATTGCTGCTTGCGCTTTGTTGGTGCTTAGAGAGGAAAAGATTCCGAGAACTCTGAGAGAAATCGCGGTATTGTTTAAATTTTGTTATATATGTATTATTATTTTATTTCACTAGATTGTAACATTTTTACATTATGTTTCAGTATACTTTGGAGTTGGATCTGAATCGCCTTTGTGATGTTGTGTTTATGATTCGATCTAAATTTGCTCCAAATGTTACAAATTTTGTTAGTGTTGAGGATTTGATTATCAGGTCAATTGGTGTAATGTTTGAGGATGAACGACATAAGTTCAATTTCCCGTTATACACTAATATCAAACAACTTTGTCACTTGAAAGATGATATACAAGCTTTTGAAAAGTGTAGAGAAATAGATTTGCCAAACAACATAACATCCGGAGAATATCTAGAAAAAATGACGAAAATATATCGAGTAGTTTTTACTGGGATATGCATGGAGCTTCTCAAATATGCCAATGATGCTTTTATTTTAAGTGGAAGGCAACCTACCTTCCTCGGTGCCGCGATCTCTTTGCTCGCTGTTGAAGCAACGGAAAAACCTAGTGTTCACGAAATTAAAAAACATCGAAAGCGCGTAGTAGATCTTATTAGTAAAATATTTATGGTGGATTGTCAATTTGTATTGTTTGAAAGATATCGAGAGCTCCTTGATGTAATATATCACAAGGTTATCAATATTATACCTTGGTGCACTCATGCCAAGGAGAATAAATCTAGAAGCTATTTATATGTTACCGATCTCGTGCAATTTCAAGAATGGATATTGGGAAGTCGTTTAAAGGGAAAGGGAAAAACAAAAGATGAAAGAAATGTAAACATTGATGAAGTGATGAATAATAATAACAATGAATTGGATGAAAATAATAATGAGGCGAATTTAATTTTCACAGATACTTCGAGCTTCACTAATAATAATAGTTATGGACAATATAATGATGGTAACATGGAAATTGACGAAGGTGAATTAGATGAATATGTAAGAAATGAAGAGGAGGCAAGTAATCAAAGATTGTCAAAAATTTTTTTAAATATACGTAAAAACATAATTGACATTTATTTCCACAATTCATAATAGGTTGAAATGTTCAAAAAAGTCTGGGAAACATTACAATCGAATGTCACAGAAAAATCTGAAAATAATATCCAACATAAAAAGGTTACGAGACTTCAAAGACTTCATGAAAAGGGTAGCGTGGAAGATAAACTTTCTATCTGTAGTGAGCAACTTTCTTCTGATAATGAATCATCAACTATACAAAAAGTAAAAGTAAATAATAATAATAAGCGTATCAGGATAGAAGAACCTAAATCTAACGTGAAAAAATTAAATCTTGACTTTTCTTTGATTGATAACATCAACTTTGATGATTTTGATCATATTTAATTGTTGACAGAATGAATTAAACCTATAAAATGATTTTCTTTTCTGCAATGTAAATCGTTTTAATTTAAGGAACTAATTTAATGACTAATATAAAATTTCCCTAGTCACATGATTCATCTTTAATCAATAAATAATAAAATTTGGGAAATCTTTTACTAGAATTCCAAAAATGTCCAATAGTGGGTCAGTGTATACAGTTCCTATAAAACCACTTCGAGACCTTTTAAACCCGAAATTTGAAGGGTATAAGCTAAAAGTTTTCGATGAAAATTCGCGATTACTACACTTTCAGCTTCCACCACCCGGAATAAAATTATCTAAAATTCCAACAAATTTAAAATTATCATATAAAGAAATTCAAAGTCGTAGTCATTTTAATCATTTATTTAAAGGCTTCGAAACAAAAGAAAGAGGAATTTGTTTCTATTTTGATTCGGAAAATTTTGTGATATTAATCGAATATGATAGGGTATTTAGATCTTTTTCATTTTATTATTTAATAATTTTGATCTAAAAATGAATTAATAAATGATTTGCTCGGATCTTTTAAGGTGATAAGTAATGATGCAGTAACGCATCGACTTCTAAAGATCCAACAATCAAATTATTCTGAAATTGTTGGGGAAAATAATTCTTCACGTCAATTATATTCAAATTATTCTTCCTTGCGAGCTCTCTCATCAAATTTATTACTCGTAACAAATGGATCAGGGGAGATTGCTCTTGTCCAAATTAATAAGAATGATGATACAAGTTTATACTCTTCCCAAATTTTATATCAGATTGGGTTTCAAGGACATTCACCAAAGCTTCATTCGAATTATATACCATGTGTTTTACTCGACGGTAGAATTGTGGGAGATGAAATACTATTTATAGTTTATAATCCTGTTTTAAATCCCACGTCAATTGTTCCAACAAAAGAAGTGCAAAATGTTTTATTCGATATTAGTTTATTACAAATGGCATTGACACCACCATTTGAAATGAAAATTATTCATGTTCTTCGTGGACCAGATATTCCTTTTTATTGTAGCATTGAATCTGACGGAACAGGGTATGTAATTGGTAGCAATTCAGGATATGAAGTAGTGTATAAATCATCTACTCAAGATGACACTGTAGAGCCAATGGACATTGAAAATGATAATGAAAATGATCAAATGTTATTAGAGCAAAATGAAAATTCAACAACTCAAGATAAGAAGATCTCACCATATATTTGGACACAAACTCCTACAGATATTACTATTTATTTTGAATTACCACGAGGAACACCGAAAACTGCCATTCATTGTAATTTTTCTCAAACTCATCTTTCATTAACAGTAAATCTTGGTGATACTCCAACTTACACTTCTGAACATCCTCCCATTCCTTGTTATGCGTTTACTCGTCTATTTGACCTGATTGATCCGAGTGTTTCTTTGTGGACTATTGAACCAAAGATTGGCCTACTCACATTACACCTTGAAAAGCATGATCATAGTATGCGTTGGTCACATGTCTTCCAACATGATGATGGAGTTTTTGAGACCCTTGACCCAAATGAATTTGCTGAATTCCGCGAACGTTTGGAAAAATTCACCGCAGATGCCAATGAACAATTAAGTCAATCGGAGTTCAAGCGTCTTCAACATCCAATTGGTCATGAGATGGAAGAGTCCATTGATTATGAAGGACATTCATCCGTCTTTATGTGGTTTGATCGAGATGGTAGTTTAACAGCAAAAGCATCTGGTGGTAATGAATATCTTTGTAAACAGTTTGAAATCTTAGAAAATACTGGATATTCTGACAATTTATCGTTATTACCTTCTGTTTGTTTGAAATCGGACGTGGATGGAATTGTATATTCAATTAGACATCCAACCGATTCTTCTACATTAGCCGCATCACCTTTAATCATTACACATATAGCAACTTTTAATGCATTTGCATTTGTTCAAGCTTCTAAAAGGGAAAAGCGCTTTGTATATCACGATCCAGCAAATCGGTTCGTGATGATTCTTGAAGGAGATCATCGAGCTTTTATTTATAAGCGTCATGAAAGTAGTGAGAATCATGATGAGCAATTTGTTATAGAATTGGCAGTCAATTCTAACGACGATTCAGAAATAATTGGTGTGCAAATGGTTTCGATTGATAATGCGCATATTATGATCCTAAAATCAAATTCGATTATTTTAATTAAATTATTATAAATTATATATAATTTACCGCAAATAAATCAAACGTGTACATGTATATATTAAAAAAAAAAAAAATTTTAAGAAATTTGATTGAATTTTAATATTGTTTTGAATTTTATACAATTTAATGTTTAACACGTATAAAATTTAACCAAAATTACGTATACAATTTACTGATTAGACAGTATTTTTCAAAATATATTTTTTTAGTAAAATAAGTCCAGATTTAATATTAACAAAAAAAAAAATTTTTTTTTTTTAGATTTTCCTCCCTTTTTATTGCAAAGTGCCATCCTATATATTTAATTCTAATTCAAATTTTGATAAATCGATTTTTTTTAAAAAATTTCATAGTAAACTGGAAGATTCACTATATCAAATTCTAACTGTATTTAGAATATCATATTTTTTTTCTAAAATAAGTATTATAACTTGAAAAGCTATTTAAATTCATAAATATATTTTTTAAATATATTTTAAAAAAACCAAAAATAACATTATTCTTTACCGATCATATTTTGTATTATCATATTAGCTTTTGCAAATTTCAATACTTCAGATTCTCTAAAAATATTCAAATTTGTCATATTAACTATTATATTTAATAGTTTATATTACCAAGAGTTTAGTATAAAAGTTATATATTATTAGAATATGAAATACAAAAGTTGTTATTAAGCTGAAATTTTCAATAATTTAATTAGTGTTGATAATTATACTAATTAGATTTTGAAGCTTTAAGCAAAGTCACAGATGTTTGGATGAAACTTAAAATTTTTAAAATATATTCTTTAAGTATTTAAAAATCTATAGTCAAAATAAGTCAGCAAAATTTTAGATAAATCTGAAGTTATCATTAAATAGAAGTAATAAATTTTTTTAATTAATAATCATTTAAAATATTTATGATAAATATTACTTCTAGTAAATTATACTCAACAATAATATTATCTTATGATATTAACAACTAAAAATTAGTATTAACTTAAAATTAATAAAGGATTTAGTTTTAAGATTTACAAGATAAGATTTTATGGAGAACTTCTAAAGATTAATATAATTAAAATGTATTTTAAAGACAAAGTGTAATTATGGATTATGCAATTAGAGTTTTATAAATAAATGAATTTATTACAAGTGTATTTAATAATTATCTTATTATTGATAAAACTAAAATAAATTCATATTAAAGTTTATTATAGTTAATAAAGTTTTAAACTACCTTATTTATAAGAAATTTAATAATATAAAAATAATAAATATAAAAATAAATAAGAAAATAAATTTTAGCATATCTGCTATTTCTCATATATCTAATATATACTGTATATTATATTTAATATATCAGGCAGATTTAACATATTTCATATATCTGCCAGAATCAGTAGATTTAGTAGATTATATAGCAAAGTAAAAATCATATGATCTATTATATCAGGTGATCTTTAATTACTTATTACAATAATTCAAATTTGATAAAAATTAATACTATATTTATTTATATTAAAATAAATTTATATGCAAAATTTTAGTATATATTATGTGAGATTTTTTAATCGAAGCTAATTTATATATAAAATACATTGTTAACAGCATTTTTAATATATGATAACTAGTGTTCCGCACGGATCGGATCAGATCAGATTTGGGCAAAATCCGATTTGATCCGAATCCGAAAAATCCGAATCTGAATCTGAATCCGAATCTGTATTCATATTCATATCCGTATCCAACAAATCCGAATCCGAATCTGAAGGATCAAAAAAATTTTTTAGGTTTTTAAATGCCTACGACGTTCGGAACGTCATT